TGAAGCCGCGGAGCGCCCGAAAGGGACTGAAGGAAGGGGACTTAGTCCTATCAGTATTGAGGCCAGCCCATTGAATCGTATTGCTGAGGCAAGCCCATTGAACCGTACTAGAGGCCAACTCATTAAATTGTACTACTGAGGAATGAAACCATATTTAGGTGTTTGGCTTCTCGGAATTCTAGGATTGTAAGTATATTATGAAAAATAATAGTATTGATTCAAATTTAACTTTGAGTTGTAATTGTAATTATTTTAAGGAAGTACATTTGGAGCATTGTTTCTGATATATGTAGTTATTGTGTTCTTAATGTTTGTGGTATTTCTTAAAGCTAAGCAGTGTTATATGTGTAGCAAAGAATTTTAAAATAAAATTGTGTTGTATGAATTAAGTGTGTAACCATTGTGAAATCGTGCAATCATCTAACTACTCCCCCAGCCAGTGCATCAAATGAATCAGTAAGTTGTGTGGGATTTTCTCTATTCCATAACCCACTAGAGACACTGTCCCCAGATTCTGTTAGTCCCTTGTCTCTCCACCAATCAAGGCTTCCCTCCTTCTCAAGAGCATTTACGTCTGAAGCATTAACCTAGGCAGAATGAAGCCCAAGAGCTCCTTATCCTCAAGGCAGAAGAGAGTTCAAGGAAGACACTATACTGTAAGGGAGGGACTGTGCTAGACTCTTATTGCCAGCCTGCACTGAGTCCTGGTGGAGGAAAATCCCAATTCCAGAAGGGAAATGCTCCTCACAGAACAGCCTACTTCTAATTCAATTCAATAGATCATTGTTTCCAGTTCCTGATGAATACAGTGATAAATTTTCAAAGACAACAGGGAACTAAAGAGCACAATGTAAAGTACTCTAAGCACCAACACATTTTGCTGTTTCTTAGAAATAATTTGGGGATAGGTAGAAAAACAAAAAAATGATCAAATACAGTTTTGTAAAATGGTTATACAAAGTTCTGGACATAAAAAAGTGTGTTACATTTGAGCCACTACAGGCATAAGCTTGTAACAGTGCCTTTTACAAGGTAGATGCATCTGTTAATGTAAAGAGTGAAAGAGACAGATAAATAGTGGGCTGTCAATTACAGCAGATTGAGAAAATAATGGATTTCTTGCAGAAAATGTGCAGCGCGTACACAGGTAAAGTATAATTTTTCATGGAATATTCATGAACTATCACTGATCTTGGCAAATGGGTCCCAGTAGTTCCATGAATATTCCATGTAAAATGCTACTTTACCTGCACACAAGCCACACGTGCAGCAGGCAGGCACACACCATAGGCAGCGGAAGGCTAATGGAACTTAGCCCCCTCAAATGTGGGGCAGTGGTGGAAGCACAGAGGGTCACAGGGCGGTCTCGGTGTGGGCTCTGGGCAGCTGCTGTAGGGGGAGGGGCGCATACAAACACAGCCGCAGCCTGCATACAGCCAGGGTCACAGCCCAGCAGCATGTGGAGCACTGCCCATCACAGCAGGCAAGTCTGTGAAGGGGAAGGAGCATGGGGGTTGCAGATCAAGGCCCCCACAGTAAGGGAGGGAAGGAGGCAGATGCAGGGGCAGGTGCTGGGGTGAATGGAGCCCTGGGACAGGTCGTCCAGGGGTGCAGGGGGGCTCCCACTGCTGTGCTCACACCAGGGGAGGCACAGGGGGCATGTGCCCCCTGGATTTGGCAGGGTGCTACTGTGGGCTGGGCTCTGTGCCCTGCTGTTGTTGCCCTGAGAGCAGTGTGATGTTATGTGCCTGCTGCCACCAGGCTGCGCTGTGTCTCGTTCCCTCCTGGCGGTGGTGTTGCACGGCTCCTGGGGCAATGGCAGTGGGGTGCAGATCCCAGCCTGCAGCAGCAGCCTGCCTCTGCCCCATGCACAAATCCAGGGGACATGTATACCCTGCATCTCCCCTAGGGTGGACACAGCGGTGGGAGCGCCCTGCACCTCTGAACAAGCTGCCCAGGCTCTGTCCATCCCATGACCTGGCCTGGGGCCCCATTCACCCCAGCCCCCGCCCCTGCCCCTGCCTGTCCCACTCCGTCCCTCACTGTGGGGGCCTCAATCTGGCCTCACTCATGTCCCTTTCCTCTCCCCCCACCCCTTCCCCTCCACAGACATACCTACTGGGGGGGGGGGGGGGTCGCCCCGCCCTCCCCCAAAGGGGGGGGTGTACGCTCAGCCTCCCCCAAATAATATTTTCTCCCTCCACTTACAGCACACACACACACACTGCCCCGCCCCCCACTCCAAAAGTCCCCAAGCCCTGCCCTCCAAACCCCCTTCTCCCCCCTGCTCCCTATATACTTACCTTCATTTGGCGGTCTGGCTGCATCCTGGCCACATCCCTGGCAGCCACTTGCAGGCTGTGAAAGCCCAGGGTTCCCCTTGCAGGCTGGAATGCTGCCAGCCTGCAAAGGAAAACCTGCTTTCACCTTTTTCCTGGCACAGGCTCACAACCCTTAAAAATCATAGTGTGGGGCTAATTTCACTGTATCCACACAGTCCACAAAATTGCAATTTTCTCAGGTCCCTAATTATGGGGTGCTGTCTGGATAAGTTAAAAGAGGTATCAATAGTAAAAAGGAAAGCTTTTATTTTACCTTTGTCTCAATACAAAATGAGTTTCTTGGCAGTCACTTGCAACATGTGTTCATGTTGAATTAATTGGTTTAATGGTTTACAAGGAAGTAAAAAGTGAATACCCTCATGATCTGTGGGAAAATATGATGAATAAAAGCAGCAGTTTTGACTTCTTTTTAGTGATGGACCTTTAATTAGCATAAATGTATCTTTAGACACTGTAATTTATAAAAAGGCTTTTCTAATTGTAATTACTGAGGCAGAGATTGTTCCACTATTAAAAATCTACACATCTAATATTATTGGGAGGAACCAAATGCAAGGCAGATATTAAAATGTAGCCAGGAATTGATCCTGACCCTATTAAACATCAATGGTTTGCTTACATTTGCAGAATATGGACCAGAAGACATTAAAATCGCATAAAACAAATGTTGACACTTCTGAATGCTTATTTGCATTTGGCAAAGAGCAGTTACTTTAAGGATCTGACTTGAAGCCATTTAATGAAGCCACTGCAGAGTAAAGATACTCAGTTCCATGCATTTAAAATTCCTTTAAATGTCACTGCTGTTTTAAATGCACATATTGCAGCTCATTTTGATAAATAAAACACTATCTTGATTTTCCTTTCATAAAATAAAGACATTCCTGCCATCTTTTAAGAAAAACTGGCTTTGTATCCTTTAAAGTATAATACATGCAAAAGCAATGGAAAAGCTCGCATTAATATTAAAAATAACTTTTACCCATTCTAAAAGTAGGTCATCATCAGAAATGGCACTCATTTGATTTTTGTACCATTCTGAATTGTAGCTCATGCTGACATGCACTTGCATTTGCAAGCAGTAAATGGATTGTGATGGCATCAGGACATTAGTGAATAACAAATACTAATACCTATTAACAATAGTCTCAGTATGAAAATTCAGGGTACTTTCACTGCAATTCACTTGAGCAAATAAATACTCCAGTCCCCTCATAAGAGTTTGTCAAATTCGGTCCTAAGGTCTACTAACACTAATTCCTAGCCCACTGTAATGTTATTAGAACATTTAGAAGATATTTAGCATTGCATACAGACATATATAGAGCTCAACATTTGCAAAATAAAGTTTCCCTTCTTTTGTTAAATCAAAAAGAGGGGTTGATGCTACTCTCAGTTAAGTCAGTGGTAAAATGGCCATTAATATCAATGATTAAATATTAGATCCTTAAAAGATGGAAATGTATTTTGTCTACAGTGTAGAAGAGAATGTAGCTAGATAGAAATGGAAGTTAAGATGCCTGGAATTAATTCTTACCTCTGACTGTGTGTCAATTTTGGCAAGCCCTTTGATTCTCAATATTTCAGTTTACTTCTGGTAAATGGTTACCTACTTAATCCATCAAAATATCTGAGGTTTAATCAAAAAAGGCTGAAGGCTCGAAATACATGCTAGCAATTGTGTTTGTGTATTTTAACTTTCCGACTAATTTAAGTAAGTAGAATCTTAACTACACTAATACCAATTTTATGGGGTTTGTTTTTATTTAACTTCTAAGGTTATGTCCTCTTATTTTTCCAAAGTTTAGAGGAAAAAAATGTTAAGAACAGTTACACAAGTGGAAGTATGTATTGGGTGCTGGTGGAAGTGAGACCCTCCCCTCCCCCCAAGCTTTACCAGAAGAGGAATCAGTTTGACCTGGCGCTCCCAGAGTATATACAGGGTGCGCGTTTCAGCGGGGCTTTCTGGCACTTTTATCTAGTAGCTGATTCAATCAGCTACTAGATAAAAGCGCCACAAAGCCCCACTGAAACATGTGAGCTATACAGACATTGGGCAAGCCAGGCCAAACTGACTCAATTTCTCTTCTGGGCATGCACTGTGCTTAGCACGGATGTACACCAAGCTGAAAGTAAAGCGTCAGGTTTCTTTTTCTATGTCTGTAAGCACCCTATGATGTCAGTCACTCAAACAGTTCTCCATATATATGCCAATATAATGTGAATAGGAAACTATCAAACTGACAGTATATACTGATAAGACCATATACAAGTTCCTGATTATCTCATATTCTGTAAATAGGCTCAGTCTTGCCAAAGGCCCACTGCTGTGATAGGATCCAACAGCACTGGCTTTTATGACCATCTAGAGTCTCAGTAATTCCAGTGGACTTTGTCAGAGGAAGAGCTCATACTAGCCCATCGTAGTGCCTACAGTTATATATGGTCATTGCTAGTACAGATAGTTATACACTTTCCATCTGACTGTCCCAGAATCCCCTCTAAAGCTATTTTTTCTGGAGTTGTTTCCAGATCTTTATTCTGGATAAAGTAACTTTTGCAAGGTTTATTTACAAAACTGCACTGAATTTTATTCCAAAGCAAATCTGCAGCTGTCAAATCTGCCACAACAAATGGAGGAGAAAATAGTTTTTGTACCTGTTTCAGGTTTACATTTAAACCCTCGTGTGTTGCCTTTAACAGTGCTGTCACAGTGAAGCTGTCAGGATCCTCTTTGTCCCTGATTTGAGATTCTTTTATCAGCGATTCAAGTTTCTTCCTTATAAAAGATTCTATCTGGTGCTCAGTTGTACCATTACTCTGAAATGAAGTAACAGATCCTGTTAAAATCTATTCAATCATGCCAATCATATTTGAAAAAGGCAAATAGACTGTGGTGGATGCTTCATGAAAGGAGCAACCTATTAATGTTTCCAGTGTTTCCTCTTAACTTTTCCAGGAACAAGCAGAATCATACATTTTCCACTGAAACATATAGCAACTCATCGGACCATCAGTAACCATTTACAACACCACAAAATGTGTTTCTCGCTGTGATTTTACCCATTTGGATATAACATTATTAATTACCTACTCTCTTAGAGGGGTGAGGAGAATTACCCACCCAACGTGTTTGAGTAGCCCTTTGAAAAGGCCTGTGTTCAGAATTATTAGAAATCTTTCTCTGTGGGATCAGACAGAAGTGACGTTTTATTACCAGGGACCTGGGTTTTCCATTTGCCACAAAAAAATGCAACAAAAAGTAGATTTTTGCCTTTAAAGGAGAAAAAAAACGGGAAACTGCAGGTTTCCCTTGCAGGCTGGTGGCATTCCAGCTTGCAAGGTGCTGTTTGGGGCTGGGAGGAGAGGAATACAGGGGGCACCAGGTGTACGTGTGTGCGTACACACATGCATGTGGCAGCCAGGCAGCGGGGTAGAGAGCAGCTCCCACAGCTCCCTCCAGGTAAGTCGTGTGTGCATGGTGGGCATAGTATGATTGCCAACTCTGTTTCAATCTACTCCAGAAGATTTCTGGAATGCCAACATGCCCACAACACACAACACGAATGTGCCCACGTGCTTGTGTATATCAGTTATGGATTACGGTGCATAGACTTTTTGTCAGGAAGGCAGATGCACATTACTATTACATTTTAAAAACCCCACTGGACTACTGTATAAATGAGATTCAACATTTAATATTTATTTTGATTAATGCACTATCATTCATCTCCCAGCTGACTTTCAGTAGTCTTCTGGATATTTATATCCAATTCCTGGAGGGTTGGCAACCCTAGGGCACAGGTGATGCACAGCAGGGTGGGAGGACACAGGCGATGTGTGATGGGGTGGGTGGCATGTGCCCCCTGCAGATTTCTGTGCCTATAGTAGGGCATGGAGTGCAGGGCTGCAGCCTGGCCAGATCAGCTCCAGGCAGGATCTGCCTCAGTGGCCCAGCAGGTGGAATCCGGTGCAGGAGAGAGTGCCACACTGTCATGGCCTCCAAGGTGAGGCACAGCAGTGTTGGTGCGGAAGCAGAATTGAGTTGTGACCCCTGCTGCTGCCAGGCAGGCAGGGGATGCTTCACCTGGGTGGCCCTGGTGGCAGGGTTCTCCCTCCCATGCCAGGTCCTGCCTACTGGGCCGTGGAGGCAGCTCCTGCCCAGAGCTACACCAGCCAGGCTGCAGCCCCATGCTCTGTTGTCAGTGTAGAAATCGGGGGG